AAATCTGCTACAAAATACTTCTTTAAAATGTTAAAAACAAAGCTGTCACTTTGAGGACTAAAGTGATTCTGGCCCAAACCATGGTATTTTTAATCGCCTCATATGCATGCAAAAGCTGGATAATGAATAAGGAAGACCAAAGGAAAATGGATGCATTTGAATTATATGATTGGGTAAAAAAAAATGAATATACCATGGGTTGACATGGTACAAATGACCAACTCTGTCTTGGAAGAAGTACAGTCAGAATTCTCCTTAGAAGTAAGGATGATGAGACGTTGTCTTAGGCATTTGGGACATGTTTTCAGGAGGGACAAGTGCCTTGGTAACTATAGTAGTTACGTAATCTTGTGCCAACTTGAGGATATTAAGAGTGAAGAGGTGGAGTCTAGCCTATCAGTCAGGTCACAGCCTGATGCCTCCTTGTGGGCATGGCCTTCCCATGAGGATTCTGGGTAGTTCCTCTCTTCCTCCCTGGAGGCGGGAGTGCTGAGATGCTTCCACTACCACTGAATCTGCAAGACTTTTCACCTATCGGCCTGTGGTTTTCCTGCATCTGGCATCATTGCATGTGCTGTGTGAGTCTGAAGAGGAATTTATAGATGAGTATCAGACGTATGGGCTAATATTAGACTTATGGACTTGATCTGGACTGGGCTGGGAGGTTTTCTCAATGTGCAATTACTCTATGATATAAAGCTCTCTCTTACACATACATGAGTATCCCCGGATTTGTTTCTCTGGTGATCCCAGCTTAACACAGTAATAAAGAATCAAAGTCAAAGGCAAATGCATTCCTGTCAAGTCAAGGCCAACTCACAGTGACCCTATCAGACAGGGTAGAACTGCCCCTGTGGGTTTCCCAGACTGGTAAGGTAGGTCAGCTGAAAAGAGGAAGACCTACAAGGAGAAAGATGAGTCAGTGGCCGCAACAATGGCTTCGAACACGGGGGTGGTTGTGAGGGTGGCACAGGACCAGCAACAAGAGCTCCAGTAATCAAAACAGCCCAGCACTGGTATCCCATGGACACATAGCCCCATGGAAGAGAATCGAGGGCCAGAACTAAATCGGAACATCTATTATCAACGGATTTGTGATCAGGGTGCTACGTTCAATAGATGGAGAAGGAAGAGTCTCCTTAATTAGTGATGCTGGGGAAATTGGATTTCCACATGCAGAAAGTTTGATGACTTCTCCACAAGAAGAGAAACAACCCAATCGTGAAATAGACATTTCATGAAAGAGGACAGTCGAAGGACCACCTAACACATGTAAAGATGTTCAGCATCATTAGCCATCAGAGGGCTGCAAATCGAAACCATTACATTCCCACTAGGACAGTTAGAAATTTTCTTCAAAGTCAGAAAATAACAAATGTCAGCATAGATCTGGAAAAATTGGAAGCCTAGCTCCTTACTGGTGGAAATGCCAAATAGTAGCTCTTGTGGAAAACAATGTGGCCGTTTCTCAAAACTGGAGATAGAACTTCTATCCCAACCCCAACCCACTGCCTTAAAGTTGATTCTGACCTATACCAACCCCATAGCACAGAGTAGAATGGCTCTTTAGGATTTCTTATTGGAACAGAGAGCCTCAGATTTCTCCTAGGAAGTGGCAGGTGGGTTTGAACTTCCAACCTTTTGGTTCTCAGCCCAATGCTTATTCCACAGCACCACCAGGGCTCCTTAGAACTAGCAAATGACCTATCAACTCCACTCCTGGATATATACTTGAAAGTTTTGAAAGCAGAGGCTTAAGTAGAGACTTGTAAACAATTTTCATTGCAGCACAATTCATAGTAGCCAAAAGGTGGAAGTAACCTAATACCCATCAACAGATGAATGGACAAACACAAGGTGGTACATACACACAAGGGAATTCTGTACTGAGTATAGTCAGTAAAGGAAGCGACGTTTTGACACATATGACAATATAGATGGAACCATAAAACATTGTGTCAGGTGAAATAAATCCCTTACAAAGGAGTTCATATTAATAGAAGCAAAGATAACTAAAGAGAACAAAGTTTGTTGATGGTTACCATTGGCAGGAAAGAAGAGGAAAGGGGTGGTGGTGCGGAGAGGAATGATGATGGAAATAGTGCACTGATTAGGGAGAGGTTTGTACAATAGATTATTAGAATTGTTGTCAATAAGTTGTACACCTGTAAAAAGTTGCATTGGCAAAGCTGTGTGATAAATATATTTACAATAATGACAAAAATAAAAAAGTAGTTCTTAAAAGCTTGCACATGGCCATCCAAAGCACAGATTAGTTTCTAGTCATCTGAGCAACAGAGGAAGACGGAAACTCAAGAGTGGGGGAAGATGGAACGTGAACAGTGTTTTTACCTCTGTGAACAACCACCCCACTGTGCAATGAGACCAGAGAGTTGAATGGTTCCCAGCTACTGCACTGAACATTTGATCAAAGA